TTAGAACCTAGTATTTTCGCTTCCCCGGCGGGCGGCAACCTCACCTTAGCCGCCTGCCGGACCTCAACCTAATCCGCTAGATTTTTCAACACATACCACAAACACATACCATACACTCTTCTTTCTTTGGTTTCTCATCCTCATCGTCTCTCTCTGCACAAGTACACTTGTTTGTTCTCTGCATAAATAAATGACTGAGTGGGTTGGCAGTAGAAATATGAGTACTGAACCACCACATAATTCAGAACCTGAAACTAGCTCCAACTCATTCTCATCCTCACCCGGGTTAACTCAGTTTCAAGTGCCGTTACCGTCACGTTCACATTCCGAGACGGAGAGCGTCGATGTGGCCGAAGAAGCCGGCTCGAGCGGCGGCGAGCTCGCGAGCGTTGGCTTGGACAAGGAAGCGCCGTCCCTCGGCGATGTTCTGGCGTACGCCGTAGCCGTCTTGGAGGCAGTGGCCGAGCTCGCGGAGAGCGTCGATGTGGCCGACTGTTTTCAGTATCTTGTCATGGGCGTCCCAACCAACAAGCAGGAGCTTGTGATGAGCATCAAACCTGGGCTGAAGCTTTTCCTGTATGATTTTGATCTCAAGCTTTTGTATGGAATATACAAGGCATCTTCTACTGGCGGCATGTGCTCTCTCTCTCTCTGGGGTGATCATTGACAGAGATCATTGATACTGCTGGAGCTAAAGCTTAAAACACATGCTCAGCATTCCACATTTTTTAAGTGAATAGTGCTGGTGGGTCCTACCACTAGCCAAAGCAATCCTGATTTCTCTCTCTTCCTCACCTTCCGATGCCTTTTAGCCTTCACCCACTTCTTTTAATTTTTACTACTTTGTTTATTTATTTCTTTATTATTATTATTTTTTTTTTATCTCTTCCTCATTTTTTATTTTTAAAACATGCCATGGTAGTGCAACCACTTTACAACCACTCCTTTTTATTTTTACTTCTTTGTTTATTTATTTATTTATTATTATTTTTTTTATCTCTTACTCTTTTTTATTTTTAAACCCATTTGTTGTCTGTGAGTTGTTCTCCCCTTTCGAAGTCTCTTCTTACTTGGTGAGGCACATGCCTCAGCAACTGATGTTGCTGCCTCTTAAGTTACATTGAGTTTGGAGTGGGGCATGCGTACTGTTGTGTTGACTTAAGGGGAAACAATTTGCAAAGGTTGAATGGACATTGCCCCAGACAGGTGGGGCTTTTCCACGGCAGGCAGGGATAGAAGCTTGAAACAGCAGAATATACTAGTCTGTTTCCTCGACCCGATAGGAGGCAAAGGGATAAGTCAGGCTACGGAATGGGTTCCATCGCAGGAACAGCAGGAGCATTGTTATAAAAGTTGAAGAAAGAATTGAGGTTGCGGTGCCAGAATAGCTTATTATTAAGAGTGAAGGTGCTCTCTTTCTTAAGTGAGGGAAGCTCTATGAAGCCTAAGCCCTCCACAAGTAAAGCGGTATAATCACAAGCAAACTGTTGAAAGCTCTGGTGGAAAGCAGTCTGAGGCGGGGGGACATGTAGGACGCCCTGATCTATGCCAAATTGCCGAAGCACCTTGTCCGGTCGATAGATGACGCTAGAGGGATTGGCGCACTTGCCTCGTGACAGGTCGACCCTCTGCATCAAGAACAGGATGACCTTCTGCATTAAGGACTTCGTCGGTAAAGAAGGGTTGATGTTCTTTAGGGATGGGGCACATAGCAGGGAATCTCTCATAGAAAAAAGTGGTCAGGAACTGAGTGTGTACAAGGCTCCATATATCATAGTGGCTCATGGATCGCTTTATGTCCGAGTGAATGAGGTCAAGGTGGAAGTATAAGTTCCCCAAGAAGAAATGAGCAAGACGGATCTGACTGTCGCTGCAGAGTTTGACAGCCAAAGGAAACACTAGAGGATTGATACTCTCAACGGGGTTGTTGGGGAGAACAAAAAAATAGATAAAATAATTGACAAAGGTGGCCAGGTACAAGTCGCCGCAGTAGCCTGGCCCAACTACGGAGTTACAGCTCTTCTCTGTGATGTCGCCCACAACTGGTTATAGGTCCTGAAGAAATGTTTCAGCCAGGAAAGATAGGTGGTTTTGTCTCTCTTAGGTCTCTCCTGGAGCAGTTCCCTAGTCTTAAGGTCGTACCAGGAGCCATATTTTTGTGCCTTTCGAAAGACGCTTTGAAGGGCAGTAATAGCAACTTGTTCTGCAGAAGTCAGGGACGTTGGATCGAAGGGGTGATCTCCACAGGTACTCAAGCGCAGAAGGATGGCAACATCTTCGAGGATTGGGGTTATCTCCCCTATGCCAAAGCAAAGGTGTGAGTGTCGCGGCTTCAGCGGGAGATGACCATATCAGTGTTGGTCTGTACCTTGTGCACTGACAACTCCTTTGAAATCAAAACGGCATTGAAGAGCCAAACGTCCCTCTAGCGTTGCTTGAAGTCACCATCTGCATTGATGTTTCAACCTAGAAGGACCAGTCTGTTGCAGGGCCCGAGTGAGTGCAGTAGTAGATGTGTGAATGGGGAAAGTCGCCATGCTCCACGAGAAACCGCAGCACGGAGACTGAGTTCACTATGTCAGCATCATCCAAAGTAGCCTCACCAAAAGAGAGTAGAGGCTCCTCTAGAGGAAGGGCATCAGGAACGAATGAGTCAACTATTTTCCAGAAAGGGTCAGCCATTCCTTCGAAGTATGGGGCCCTCATCCACTTAGTAGGGCGTGGGGCAGCCTTGTCAGGTAGAAACCTTGTGCTAGCCATGAGGAAGAATAAAGAAAAGTGGGAACAAGGAAGAGAAAAAAACAAGGAAACAGAAAGTGTGTTTGGATAGAAGTGGGGGACCAGTGGACCCAAGGGCGCTGTTTATAAAAAAGTAGCAAAAGGGCACTACACATTTCCCTAGGCTCATTATGACCTGTCAATCAAAGGGGGGCATCTTTTTAGAGCCAACGCAACTTCTAATCCAATCAACACAACCCTTGGGTTACTTGTTGGCGTTATGCACGCGCGAGAAACCAGAAGCGTGTCCTCTACGCACGCAGGGGCAAATGTGGAGGGTCAGAAATTAAGCCCTAAATTAAGTATGGGCTTAAGTACTCAGGTCGCCCAAAGAGGCGACCAAGAATGAAAAAGGAGCATGGGCCAAAGCTTAAAGGAAGTGGGTCAATAGTGGGCTGAAGCAGGTCCAACTCGCCAAGGGTCCAAATGGACTCCATGAAAGAAAATGACTAAGTCAAGTTACAGAGGCAATACATACAGCGGGAAAGTTGCCGAGGCATTTTGTCTCAGCGCCACCATTCCTAATATCTTCGGTTTCGCTGTCATCCGAAGTTGTTGAGGGAAAGAAAAGTTGACGCAACTAAGTTGCAGAAGCAACACTTGCGACGGCTAAATTGCAGATGCACTTCGCCCTAGCGCCGCCATTTCAAGTAATGTCGGTGTTGCTGCCATTCTAAGTAATATCGGTACCTCAACCATTTGGAGTTGCTGAGGGAAGGACAAAATCGAAGCAACTAAGTTGCAGAGGCAGTACTTGTAGCGCCTAAGTTGTGGAGGCATTTTGTCGGCGCCACCATCTCTAATATTATCAATCTTGTCATTTGAACTTGCTACGGGAAATGAATGCCACAACAATTATAGTTGTTGCAACCAACTTGCAGAGGGAACATCTTGCCAAGGTGATAGCAGCGTGTGGGAAAAGCTTCTTTTCTTCAAGTAGAGGCTAATGCTTGGCGTTGATAGCAGGCTCTAAGGCATTACTAGCGTAGGTTGATAGTAGGCCCCACAGTTCATTTAACTTGGTGCTGATAGCAGGCCCCAAGACTTACTGGTTGGAGTTGATAGTAGGCCCAAAGATGCTAGTTTACCGTGGCGATCCCGCGAAGATGGGAGCAAGGTAGCCCGAGCATTAGGGACTCCTTTTCTATTACCCAGGTCATGGACCTGCCTTAATCGCACAGGCAGGACTAAGGAAGCCCATTTGGGCTTGGTACTAAGGCACAACATGGCTGATAATAGACTTGGCTGTGGCTTTTGCCCTGGGAAGTTGGGGAATTTGTGGTTAGGTGGCTAAGGGTGGAGGCTTCGTTGAGGTGATCACGAACATAGTCGATAACAGACTAATGGAATCCTGAGAATGTATGTACTGGCCAAGTAGAATTGAGAAGGCAAGTGCAGCAGCAAGGTTTACTGCTGCAAGTGCACTTGCTGAGATTCTGGCTGAGAAGGCAAGTTTTGAGGCAAACAGTCCCGTTGAAACTACACTTGTTGAGGCTCAAAAGGGAGTTGCAGTGCCAAACATTCCCGTCACAACTACACTTGCTGAGGCTCAAAATGGTAGTTGTGAAGGCAAACAGATAGTACACAGTACATGCAGAGGGACACATGGCACCTTTAGCATGGTGGCTCAAGGCAGAATATTCCATGTGATCTTTTGGGACACATGTCTTCTCTCTATTTGGCCACTTGGTGTCCTCTTGGCACCAAGGAAAAACCTATAAATGGAACCCATTTCCCAAGGTTCAAGAGGGGGAATTTTGGAGATTTGGGGAGATGTTGCCCATTTTGGTACTGCCATACATTCCTTCTTGAGCCACTTACTTCACCTTCACCAAACTACACACTCTCCAACTCCGAGATAGTTGCTGCTACATTCTCCAGCCACTTCCACCATTATTGGACCATTAGCATAGTTTTACCTCTCTAATCACCTTCCTAACCTTGAACCCCCCTACATATCTTGACATCCATGGTGTTCATATTTGATGCATTTGAAATGTCACGAATCATTGCACGTATTCTATGACCCAGAAGAAATGTGTGCGGAGAAGATATTATTCCTGTGTCTGTCATTGTGGTGTCAGTTAAATTTCTACTAACTGTAAAATGTTTTTGGAATTTCCTGCATCAAGTCTAATTTAGTCTCTGTTTCCAGTATACATGATACCTGTAGTTCAGTTTTCTTTTTATATTGACCTTTCTTACATTTGGAAGTCTTGCAGACATTTGTCATTGATCTTCATGACAAGATGACTGGCATCAGCCTGTATGGTGTTGTTACAGACATCATTCGAGAAGTTGACACTGCTGAAGCAATTTTCTCCTTGAGAATTGAAGATACAACTGGAGCAATTCGAGCGAAGCTGCACTTTACTAATTCTTGGTAGGGATAGTTGTTTGATTTAACCATTCTTTCAATAAATTTTGTCTTAATAAATTCCTACTTGAAATTTATGTTACCCAGGTCATTGGGGAGATTAGGCCTTGGTCACTCTGTTTATATATCTGGTTTGACTTGTTCTATGACAAGAAAAAAAGGGTGAGCAAATTCCACATTTTTAATAAGGTTTTTGCAATATACTATATATGTAATGTTTTTATATTAATGCAGATATATAATGTTTTAGTCTCCCTAAGCTATTTCTAAACCCATATATCATCCTGTGTGAAATAGTTTTTCTAATTTTTAAGTTTTGTAATTTATCTTAGTACTGCTCTTTATTTTCTGCGTATATTAAATAATTGATGTTTTCTTGACAGCGCTGAAGTCTTATGGTTTGAGAATGATGTGAGAGCTTCATTCATTAACCTTAGTTGTTTGCCAGCATTGCTGAACTCGTCTTGTCTCCACAAATTAACATGCCTTTCTGATTTATCTAGCAAGACTAGAAGTACACATGTATGTTTTCTTATGGCATTTGAGTTTTATTTCATCATTCAGGAATATTTTTTTATAGTTGCTCCTCTGCTTCCTATTCTGTTTTATTACTTCAGTCTTATATATTTATGTAGTCGATATATTGTATTTTTCTTCTATCTTAGGAATCATGAAGCTTTTCAGCTACTTGCATATGGCCTTATGTTACATAAAATTCATAAGAATACTCAATGAAATTACCAACCTGGGTGTGTTCTGTACTTCAGGTATTTCTACTGTTTGTCTCTCTTCATGGCCAGCTTACTGGTGATCCTAAGGTCACGTTTGTTTTCCAGCATGAGTACTAGGACTGGATTAAGATTGATGTGGGCCCCATTGAAAGCATGTTTGGCTGTGAAATTAACCACCAGATTAATAATCCAATAGGATTCATAATCCCACTAAGATTGATGTCGATCCCATTGAAAACATGTTTGGCAGTGATATTAGGATTGGTTTGGGATGTTTTAAAAAAGTGCACTTTTTGACTTATTAGCTTATATGGGTTGAGTTTGGGTTGAGTTTGATGTGATGTGTTAGAGATGTGAGTTGATTTAAATAAGATGATGTGACTTAAATAGGATAGTGACTTTTTGTATTATTTAATTTATGCCAAACCAACCCTTAATCACCGGATTAATAATCCAATAGGATTCACAATCCCACTGAGCAATGGGACTAGCATAGTTGGTAATGACTTGGGATTGAGAAATGAGTCCCACGGGATTGAAAGAGAACCATTTTTTTTTTTCGATTGCTGTTATGTCTAAATTTTATTTAGAATTGTTTTAGACTTTTTTTTTAATATAGAAATATGTTTTTATTTTTATTTTATATAAAAATAATTTATCAATTCTATCGCTAATCATTTCTCACACTATTATCAAAACAAACACATTTTCACTTAATTCCCTCACTAACAATTCTGACATTAACAATCTCTTCACTAATCATTCCTTCACTAACAATTTCATCCAAGTTAATCTGCTAAACAAACGTGGCTCGTATTTTCTATTGGTCTTTCTCATAAACTGTGATAAGCCTCATTGATTTTGTGGTGTACCAAATACTCTGTTTTCTCCAACCAATTTTTTTTTTTTTTTGGGTGGAAACCTGAACAAATCAAAACACGAAATAAATGTAACATACAGAGCCATGGAGGTCATATATTCACTTACTGCACAGCGGTGGTAATGGATTGGAATCATCTTATCTTTCCTCTCCATTAGTTTTTTTTGGTACTTATTAAACCAATGACCATGACTTTTTTTTTTAGAAGAACAATGACTATGACTTGGCAAATTCATTTGACATTGAATTCTTTGCTTGTCCTTGTTTTATGGTGCGGGAGTCATGAAATTGGTCTTTTATCTTCTAGTGATAATGTATTTAAATTTTGTCAAGGGTCACAAATTAAATCCCAAATTAACTATGGGCTTAAGTACTGTGGTCGCCTTTCTGAGATGACTAGGAATGAAAAAAGAGCATGGGCTAAAGCCCAAGGGAAGTGGGCCAAAGCAGGCCCAACCTGCCAAGGGTCCAAACGGACTCCACGAAGGAAAATACCTAAGTCAAGTTGCAGAGGAAACACTTGTGGCGGTCAAGTTGCTAAGGCATTTTGCCTCAGTGCCACAATTCCTTAATAATGTCGGTTCAGCCACTACCTAAAGTTGCCGAAGGAAAATGCCTAAGTCAAGTTGCAGAGGCAACACATGCAGCGAGAAAGTTGCTGAGGCACTCAGTGCCGTCATTCCTAATATCTTTAGTTCTGCCGCCATCTGAAGTTGCTGAGGGAAAGAGAAAGCTGACGCAACTAAGTTGTAGAGGTGACGCTTGCGACGGACAAGTTGCAGAGGCAATTTGTCTCAGCGCCACCATCTCCAATATTGTCGATTCTGCTATTTGAGCTTGCCGCGGGAAATGACTACTGCAGCAACTACAACCGCAGCAACTAACTTGCAGAGGGAACACCCCGCCAAGTGATAGCAGCCTTTGGGAGAAGCTTTCCCTCCACAAGTGGAGGCTAATACTTGGTGCTGATAGCAGGTCCCAAGGCATTACTAGCTTAAGGTTGATAGCAGGCCCCTAAAGTCATTTTTAACTCGGCATTGATGGTAGGTTCTGAAGCTCACTAGCTTGGTGTTGATAGCAGGCCTTGAAGCTTACTGGTTGGAGCTGATAGCAGGCTTAGAGATATCAGTATACTGCGGCAACCCCGCGAAGATGGGGGCAGGACAGCTCGAGTGCAAGGAACTCTCTTTTCATTTATCCAGGTCACGAACCTGTCTTGGTCGCACAGGCAGGACTAAGGAAGCTCCCTTTGGGCTTGGTATTAAGGCACAACATGGTTGATAGTAAGCTTAGTTATGGCCTTCGCCTTGGGAAGGTGGGGAGTTTGTGGTTAGGTGGCTAAGGGTAAAGGTTTCGCTGAGGTGAGCACGAACATGGACGATAGCAAACTAATGGAGTCCTGACAATGTGTGTACTGGCCAAGTAGAACTGAGAAGGTAAGTGCAGTAGCAAGATTTACCGTTGTAAGTGCACTTGTTAAAGTTCGGGCTGGGAAAGCAAGTGCAGCGGCAAATGCTCCCGTCGTAACTGCACTTGCTGAAGCTTAAAAGGGAGTTGCAGTGCCAAACACTCCCATCACAACTGCATTTGTTGAGGCTCAAAAAGGTAGTTGCGGAGGCAAACAGATAGTACACAGTACATGCAGAGGGACACTTGGCACCTTCAGCCTAGTGGTTCAAGGCAGAATATTTCATGTGATCCTTTAGGACACATGTCCTCTCTCTATTTGGACACTTGGTGTCCTCTTGGTACCAACGAAAAGCCTATAAACAGAACCCATCTCCCAAGGTTCAAGAGAGGTATTTTTGGAATTTTAGGGAGATGCTACCCATTCGTGCACTGCCATACATTTCTTCTTGATCTACCTGCTTCACCTTCACCAAACTACTCAATCTCTAACTTTCTAGACAATTGCTACTGCTTATTTTCCACTCATTCCACCATTGTTGGACCATTAACATAGTTTTGCTTCTCTAATCATCTTTTTAACCTCGAACCCCCCTTACATTTTTGGCGACTCTATTGGGGAGGCTGCTTTGTTGATGGTTCATACCCATAGTGGCTTACACACTTCACTGGAAAAAATTGCAGGGGACGAAGTTCAGCAATCCCTACGACAGCAAGGCTCTTCCAATGGTAGAGCAGCACATGTGGACGACCATGACCACAATGTTGTGGTGAAGGCGGTCCAATCACTCCAAGATACGCAGAGGGAGATCTTGGTTGCTTTGCAAACTCTCACTGAGGCTATTATGGCCATGGCGTCCAGACTAACTCCAGCGCAGACACCTCTGTCTATAACAATCCCAAACCCAGTGCCTAACTTGTTCCCTGGGAATCAGGCTCTGATCCAGGTGCCTCTGGTGATACCCTAGGCGAACGGTACAGCCACTGGTTCAGCTACCCAGCAGCAGATTAGACCATTCCAGCCCACTCACTTTGTTACTTTAGCCAATGTACAAGCTATGCTCAAGTAAGAACGCAGCAAAAAGCAACTACCATCTCTCTCTGACCCAAATGTGAAGTCCCTATACTCTAAGGAGATACTGGTTATGCCATACCCGACTGGGTATATAGTATCCACGTTTATCAAGTTTGATGGGAAGCAATGCAATGCCAGAGAACATGTGGTGAGGTTCATTGAAACCCTTGGTGTCCATGGCAGTGAGCACTCTCTGTGCCTTCAGAGTTCTCCAAATCACTTACCGAAAGGGCTTATAGTTGGTACGTGAACTTGGCCCCCAACTCGATCAAGAGTTGGGAGGAGATGGTAAACAAGTTTCATAAGAAATGTCCAAAAGGCAGGTGAGGATATACTGGACTATGTCAAGTGATTCCAGGATAAGGCTATTGACTGTCATAAACTAGTGGATGAGGCCCACTTAGTCAGCATATGTGTGGAGGGTGCCATACGTGATTACAAAATTTTCTTGGTGAATCATAATCTGCCTACCTATTCAGCCTTGGTTGAGGCAGCTAGGAACCTTAGTACCATTGGCCCTTTGCATAGATCTCGTGATAGTCACTGATACTCTCGCAGTAACAGAGTTGTTGCGGTAACCTCTGAAGGAAGGAGCCGCTCACAAGGGGAGGCATCATCCTCTCGGAAGAGGAAGAGTTATGAGGACAAAAATCCATATCTTTGTAGCGTTGAGAATGTTAAGGCTTTGGTTAAAGAATGGGTAGCCGCTGATGAACTTATTTTGCCTTCGGTTGATGTCCCTCCAACCAAGAAAAACAAAGAAAGCCCAGATTATTGTATCTATCGCAGAGCCACTAAACACCTTACTGGGGACTATTGGACTTTGAAAAGTATCTTCAAGAAGAAAGTTGACGTGAATGAACTGAAGTTCAAAGATGACAGTAACCGTAATGTAAGGAAGGATCCTTATCCTAACCACAATGAGAAGGGGAAGAATGTACATATGATTGGCTATCTTGGGCTTGTGCATGATCAAATGCATATGGCGTTCTGTTATGATGAGTTAGAAGAAATTGCAGCTGGCCAGCTCCCCGAAACAGTACCTGCGGAGGCAAAACTTGCAAAGGATACTCATGCTCAAGTCTTGTAAAACTCTGTCAAGTTTTGTACTTTCTTTGACTAGCTGGGGCTGAGCCAAGCCACCAGGTTGGAAGCAACAAAGGCCTTCATCAACATCTTTGAAGTGCGCCATACTGAAGTTGCTGAGGCTAAGGGGTATATGTCTTGGCGCATCCAGGAAGATTACGGGGCCGTTACTTTTTCAGAGGTAGACAGAGCATACTCATTTCCTCATAACCGTCCTCTTTTTGTCACAACTTACGTCAATGACGTGGAGTTCAAGCGTGCTTTCCTTGATGGCGGAGCATCTATAAACATTAGTATTACCATCACCTTTGCAAAGGTTGGCATCTTAGAGTCCAGGATGGTTTGCCAACCCATTACTGTGACGGGTTTTTGGTGATGAGAAAAAGGTTACTAAGGGACATGTCGTGCTGGACTTAGCAATTGGCGAGATTCGCTCCGCCACTTAGTTCTATGTGATTGAAGCGGACGCAAATTACCACATGATACTTGGCAAAGCATGGATGCACCAATATGGGGCTATCTTGTCGAGTTATCACCAATGCATAAAGGCAAAGTTGGGGAAGCGGACAGTGACTATAAATGCATCTGAAAAGCCATTTGTCGTCAACCGATTTCCATTCGTATGTGTTAAAGATGTCAAGATCCTGCCACAACCTTTTCAACGAATTGAAATATTTGGTGACGGAATCATCTCCTTGACGAATCTCTCCCAACTTCAAAGTTAATTCGAAAACTTGAGATTGATTTCCTAGGTCAGAATACATCTGACTAACATTATCCCACAACTCTTGTGCAGTAGTATAGCACATGTAATTAGAGCTTATATCCTCCCAACTTAGAAAATATGAGGAAGAAGAACTCCGAAAATATGAGGAAGAAGGAATATATTTCTGTTATATTCAAAACTTCTTATCTTACAAGACCAAATGACACTCCTTATATAGGAGATATTACAAACATCATTATAACCCATTATATGCCACTTACATATTATATATTACCACTATCTACCACTATAATATTATATACATGCCACTATCTACCACCAACACCACTATCGTTTTCACCGGAATGGCAGCGGCAGGGGTTGAAGTGGTTTCGGACGTGACTTCCGACATAGCTATGACGGTTTTAGGGCTGCTGTGTTTTTTGTTGCTCTGATACCAACTTAGAAAATATGAGGAAGAAAAACTCTAAAAATATGAGGAAGAAGGAATATATTTCTGTTATATTTAAAATTTCTTATCTTACAAGACCAAATGACACTCCTTATATAGGAGATATTACAAACATCATTATAACCCATTATATGCCACTTACATATTATATATTACCACTATCTACCACTATCATATTCTATACATGCCACTATCTTCACCAACACCACTATCATATTCTATACATGCCACTATCTTATTATATACATTAACACAAATTTCCAGTAGGAGTAGAAGAGGTGCACTATTCTGATGCAGTTTTCTTTACTGAGTTGTCAATGGATGAAACTCCAAGGATTGGTAAGGTTGTAGGGGTAAAATTGCTGAAGTGGGAAGACATTCGAGATGCAGAGGCTGCTCTAGAAAGTAGTGGGCAGAAGAGGAGCAGCAAGTCCACAAGTCCTCTGCCCAAGATTGTTAAGGTGCGTGAGGGTGACAAGACGGTTTACTACCTATGACGGTCTTGGAGGCCAGATTTCATACCTTGGAAGGATGGCCCCGAGGCAAATAAATGTGATGGTGATGAGTCCCAAGAAGGGTTGGTGGAGCGCCTACGCCTGCCCCTGCCCCTACCCCTAAATGCATGCAAGATAGACCTAAACTGCAGCAGGAGGTACTTGTTGAGGTCAACCTTAGCGACTTACCAGGGCAGAGCAAGCTCGTGCTTATTAGCGCTATGATGACTCCAATAGCTAAGGCAGAATTGATAACACTACTGAAGCAGTACAGTAATGTCTTGGTTTGGACATACGATGAGATGTTAGGTCTTGACCTATCTCTTGTCACCCATCACTTGGACACTTTCCCCAACTCTAAGCCAATAAAGCAGCATGCTCGAAAGTATCACCTTGATCTTGAGGCAAAGATTAAAAAAGAGATAGAAAAGTTGCAAAGGGCCAAGTTCATTGAGCCTATACAATAACCAACTTGGCTAGCAAATATTGTGCCTGTGAAGAAGAAGAGCAGCCAAATCAGGGTCTGCGTAGACTTTTGCGACCTAAATATGGCCTGCCCAAAAGATGAGTTCCCATTGCCCTATGTTGATACACTTGTCGATTCTATTGCGGGCTATCAGATGTTCTCCTTCATGGATGGGTTTAGTGGTTATAACCAGATCAAAATGGCACCAGAAGATGAAGAAAAGACAACTTTCAGAATGTCCTTGGGAAGTTTTTTCTATAAAGTGATGCTCTTCAGTTTGAAAAACACGGGCAACCTATCAACGGGCTATGATTGCAGTGTTCCATGACATGTTACATCATGAAATGGAAGTCTATGTAGATGATCTGGTGGTAAAGTCTATTGAAGCAAATCGGCACCTCTGCGACTTGGAAAAAGTTTTTCAGAGTTGTCGAAAATTCTACTTAAAGATGAACCCTCTTAAGTGTGCCTTCAGAGTTACCATAGGCAAGTTCCTTGGCTTTCTAGTACACCAACGGGGGATTGAAGTAGATGGGGATACGATCAAGTCAATCATGGAGATGCCACCGCCACACTCTCAAAAGGCCTTGAAGAAATATCTAAGCAAGGTGTCATACTTCAAGAGGTTCATTCCAGCCCTTGCTGAGATAACCTTTTCCTTTAGGACACTGCTGAAAGGGAATCACAAGTTTGAATGGTTGCAAGAACACCAACTGGCATTTGATATAGTGAAGAAAGTACTTACCTGTCTACTTACAATTATTGTCTCACAACCTGCAAAGCCTTTGCTACTGTACTTAGCCTCTACATCCTAGTCTTTTGGAGCTCTACGTGTTCAGGACATAGATGGTGTTGAGAAACCAGTCTATTACATCAGTCACAAGGTTAATGGCGCTGAATCACGGCACACCCCAATTGGGAGGCATTGTTTAGCCTTAATCTTCACAACACAGAAGTTTCGCCACTATTTTTTGGCACACTAGATCTGGGTTGTGACCAAGAGTGATCCAGTTTGCTACTTGTTGAGCAAGCTCACTCTAATTGGAATAATGACAAGATGGCTTTTGGCTCTAGCAGAATATGACATCATTTGTGTTACGTCGAAGGCTATTAAGAGCCAAGCACTCGTAGACTTACTAGCCCAATTCTCATCTGGTGAACATGAATCTGCAGAGGTACCTCTGCCAGATGAGGTCTATGTCTCAGCAGTTACAGTTGAGACTTATTTGGACTTAAAATTTGATGGAGCTTCTAGAGTTGGGAAAGGTGGAGCTGGCATGACACTAACCGGTTAAGAAGGAGAGAAGTTTCATCTATCATATAAGCTTGACTTTGAATGTTAAAACAACGAGGGTGAATATGAGGCGTTTATACTGGGTCTAATTACTTCTTAAAAGAATGGCCTCCGCAAGTTGAAAATTTGGGGTGACTCCAGAGATACTAGTATACCGCGGCAACCCTGCGAAGATAGGAGTAGGGTAGCCCAAGCACAAGGGACTCTCTTTCCATTTACTCAGGTCACGAATCTGCCTTAGTCGTAGAGGCAGGACTAAGGAAGCCCCCTTTGGGTTTGGTACTACGGCACAACATGGCTGATAGTAGGCTTGGTTGTGGCCTTTGCCTTGGGAAGGTGGGGAGTTTGTGGTTAGGTGGCTAAGGGTGGAGCTTTCGCTGAGGTGAGCACGAACATGGTCGATAACAGACTAATGGAGTCTTGAGAATGCGTGTACTGACCAAGTAGAATTGAGAAGGCAAGTGCAGCAGCAGGGTTTACTGCTGCAAGTGCACTTGTTGAAGTTCGGGTTAAGAAGGCAAGTGTAGCGGGAAATACTTCTGTCGCAATTGCACTTGTTGAGGCTCAAAAGGGAGTTGTAGCGCCAAACACTCCCATCGCAACTGCACTTGTTGATGCTCAAAAAAGTAGTTGCGGAAGTAAACAGATAGTACATAGTACATGCGGAGGGACACGTGGCACTTTTAGCCTAGTGGCTCGAGGCAGAATATTTCATGTGATCTTCTGGGACACATGTCCTCTCTCTATCTGGCCACTCGGTGTACTCTTGGTACCAAGGAAAAACCTATAAATAGGACCCATCTCCCAAGGTTCAGGAGAGGAATTTTTGAGATTTGGAGGAGTTGTTGCCCATTTGTGCACTGCCATATATTTCTTCTTGAGCTACCTGCTTCACTCTCACCCAGCTACTCACTTTCTAACTTTCCAAACAGTTGCTACTGCTTATTCTTCACTCATTCCACCATTGTTGGACTATTAACATAGTTTTGCCTCTCTAATCATCTTTCTAACCTCGAATCCCCCTTACAAATTCATTAATTGATATGTAGTTCCAATGATGATGTATTTAAATTTATTGCTAGGGGTATACATGAAATAGGTCTTTTTGTTATTTTTTTTCACATTTATCTTCTTGTATTTAGAATGACATATTTTTCACTTTTTATTTCCTTAATTTCAGATATGTCATGTTCGGCTGGACCAAATTGAACACTGTCATGTAAATACGAGATTTTCACATGCTCTTTGTGGTCGTTTTGTTAGCAAGTCACTTTCTAGGACCGTTGAGTGCGATTTCTGTCATTGTAGTTGTGATGCTGAAGTAGCCCGCACTTTCCACTTGAAAATAACTCTTGCTGATGGGAGTGCAAAAGTTTTTGCATGGTGCACTGGTCAAACGGCTACAGAATTGTTACAAATAACTCCTGATGAATTCTATGAACTGCCCGAGGTAATGCCTAAACAATATTTTTTCTATTACTTCATAATCTTGTTCTCCCTGAGTTACTGAGGATACAATAGTTCAACTTGGGATAAATATTTTGCAGTCATGTCTCTACTATCTATTTTTGTTTATTACCCAACCTTCAAAAAGCATGTTTTTGCATAGTTAAATCTACAAGGTGACAGAAATTTGTAAATAATTGTGGAAAATTTTCATAATTGGTCTGTAATTTCCAGATCCCATGGTTGATGTGTAATTTTAAGTCTCAAACCGAAATATAAAATATGCACCAGTATTGATACTGCAGTGAAGTGATAGAATGCACTTTTCTCCCTGTTAGTCTGTTCTGTTTCTCATTAACAATGTCAGCAATCACACAGAATTATTTATGCCCTGCGTGGTTTTTTTTTTCTTTCATATTTTTGGAAACAAAATAATGAAATGTTTGAAAACAACTTTTTGGTATTCTCTAAAAGCTGGATTGCTTTTCAGAAATTTTTGAAAAACAGTTAACCAAGTAATTTTTCTTTGCTATATGTCATTTGCTTCTGTTATATAAACATTGTAGAGAAGCACCCCTCTTCTTGTGGATGAATTCATAAATTTGTGAAGTTTTAATGTTTTTTGGTATATCAATTTCTAACGAGTTTTGTGGATTCTTTTGATATCAGGAAGAACAAATAATGTACCCTACTTCACTGGAGAATGAACGGTTCACGGTTGCACTAGCAAACTGCAGGAGGCAAGGTTATGGACACTCTGGCAGCCTAACTGAAGAACACAGCGATGTTACATGGGAAATCACTCGTGCACTCAAGTGTGAATAAAAAAATACCTGCTGTACAGGATAATTCCTCCATGGATCATCTTCATTTGGAGTTAAGTGTCGAAGATCTGATGTAGGCATCGGAAACAAGCCCCGATCACTTTCTGATGTTTAAGGTATGGTGCAAATGCAATGTCATATTTATTTAATGATAAAGTTTATTGCAATGTGCAAATTATTTATATTGTAGGCAAACCTGCAGGATTGAACAGTTTAAAATTGCATTATTACAAAGTTCTCCAGTGAAGCCGTTTATTACATGGGTGGAAATTTGCTTGATCATCAATGCTATTAATTGTCAAACTCTCTTTGGTAGTATTTTTGTTTTCATTGTGTTATGAAAAATTTGAACACTGAAGAGATTTTTTTGTTTTTTTGGGTTCAAAAATAATTCTCAATTTGAACCACAATTTTTTGGTATTTCTCGAAAATAGGTTGTTTTCCAAAACCCCAAAAAAAGAGTATTATTTGTTTTCATTGTGTTTTGAAAAATATAAACAATGAAACGTAATTTTTTTTGGGTGCAAAAACAATTCCAATTTTTTTTTTTTGGAAACAAATAACCAAATGACTTTTGTGTTTTCTAAAAAATAAAAACAGAAGGTAAAATGAAAATAATACCTAACAAGTATCATTATGCAAGTACTGAAATTGACATCTTGCCTTGCTTTGATGGGCTGGGCTGGGTAGGCATAGAGCCACAACCTTACGCAATGGGCTTGTCTCAAATTAGATTAACGAGTTGGTCCATGTATTAAGCCCAACAACTTACATTTGGGACTATTTTTGGTTTTTTATTTTCTATTCCATTTTTTGGTTTGGAAGGTTGCCTTTGACGGGCCAAGGAGCTGGGCTTCAACACCTAGGCCCAACCCAAGCATTATTTAGGTTAGGCCATGCCACCGTTATACAAACTTGGGTTGGATAAAAGATTTAGCATACCTTGGTTTATTTGGCAGGATTTAAATAAGTGTATTTTTTGTTTTTTAATAAAAAGATGTGTAGAAAAATAAAGAGATGATATGATAAAAAAAAAATAAAAAGATATATTATTTTGAACTTTCCAAACTTGGCCTAAATTAGCATTATCATTTAAGGCATTTCTACCCTGTGATCTCAAACAAATAAATGATGAAAGAACCACAAATTTTTGGATATTAGCAAACTCAGGGCAATGTATTTCATTGACATTGCACAATTTCCTTGGAGAAACTGTCAAACATACCAGTTGGGCATCTTCAAAATCTTCGTACAAGTCAGAGAAGAACAAGAAAAAGGGTTTTTAGAATATTAAAAAAGAGGGCAGAGGGGTTGGTAAGCAGCAATCCGAATATCACGCTGGAGTCTATTCCAAGTAAATAAAAGTAAAAGGAAAAGGAGAAAATAAAAATAAAAACAAAAACACAAAACCACCTGATAGAAAATGTACTCAATCGTTCCTTCTCTTATTGCTGGCATGGGGATTCTGATCTGAAAGGAGTTTTAAGACGTTGACCAATGCCCGCAACCTGTCCCACACATTTAAGCTGTAGAGAGCTTCTACAAGTGACTCTTGAAACTCAAACCCATTCTCCGTAACAGGATACTGGAGTTGGAAGAGATACAATCAGTCAGTTTCTTAAGCAAGGAATCTTCACATATTAAAGTGAAAAAGATCAAAGCTGACCTGAATAGGCTTTGGTATCTTAGTTTTGATATATGGCCACCACCTATCCTCGACCACTGATTTCACAAGACAGCAAGCTCGCAATCCTTCTACACCGGCAAATCTTCCAAACCCACTCTCTTTTACACCACCAAATGGCAGGGACTAGGAAAAAAACATTTATCATCGTAACTTGCAATGTGACTTACAATTACTACAAAGAAATCAACAAAATATATTAACAATATAACAGAGAAAACAAGTAACACTTGGTGAACAAATTTTTTAAGTCAACAAATACAGCGAGTTCTCTTCTATTTTAAGATGGGGTACCCACAGTAACGGGGCGGGGCGGGGCGGGACGGGGCCGGGGATCCCCCTCCCCATCCCCGATCCCCGACAGTAACAAAATCCCCGGCCCCGCCCCCGATCCCCGGCGGGAAACCCTTCACCTCCCCCGTCCCCGTCCCCTAACAAGGATCGAGTTTCCCCGACCCCAAAAGTTCCCCGATCCAAATCTGTTCAGTGTTCAACAACATCATCAACATCAAAATCATACACACAGAGAGACACACACATACATACATACATGTATACATTCGTGAAGAGAGACACACACATACACATGTATACATGCACACACAGAGAGGACGACGGAGATCGGCACAGATCGGCACAGACGACGGAGATCGGCATAGATGACGGCGACGAACGACGGAGGACGAAGATGACGAACGACATCGCGGACAGTGGTGGTAGCACTGAGGAGAAGGAGATGTGCGAGAGTGAAAGAGAGTAGAGGGAAGCAAAGGAGAGGTACAAAGTGAGAGAGTACAGGGAAGAGAGAGAGTGAGAGAGAGTGAGAGTCTTTTTTTTGAACTAGAGGGCATAAAGAGAAAGAGTGAGAGTCTGAGAGACAGAGGGCATGCATTTTTTAGGGATATATATAGTATGTTTATTTCAGGGGTTTAACAGGGACGGGGTCAGGGCCGGGGCTGGAAAACATATCACCGTCCTCGGCCCGAAAGTCAACGGGGATTTATTTTTGAATACCATTCCCGGCCCATGGGAGATATTTTTCGGGAAAAAACCGCTCTACTCGGGGTCAGGGGGTCGGGTCCCCGTCGGACCGTGTTGTGTGTGAGAGCACTGAGCAGAGTGTTTCAACACCAAACCCTACACGCGCATATATATAAGGAAGGGCAAAATAGTAATTTCACATCGGGGTTTATACGGGGCAGGGGTCGGGTCGGGCCGGGTCCAGGACTGAAATATGTATCCCCGTTCCCGACCCGAACATTACCGGGGATACATTTTTTAATACCGCCCCCGGCCCGTCGGAGGTATTTTTCTGGAAATAACCGCTCAATTCGGGGTCGGGGGGTCAGGTCCCCGTTGGGCTGGGTTCCGATTGCCATCTTGGCCCACAGTGGTAACCATCTTACCACTTTATTTTCAAAATAAATGGTGTTTCTTTTAAGCACCATTAAATTAATAGGTACATTTCCTCCGATGCAAATGATGTACTCCCATTTTGCATAGCTGAACTGAATTGAATATGGTTGGTTTAATATTAAGCTAAGCAGGTCTCTCAAGTCCTAAAACTGTTTTCACTAATTTGTTTAAGCAACCCATTACCCAGTGTTAGTCCTGCCAATACGTGGCGTTGGGAAGGTAAGGACCCAGCCACCCTGAAATTTAATTTATTTCCACAATAACCTAAATAAATAAAAGGGTTACCTGACACATGTAAGATGATGCAAAGTCATTGATTGCAGCAACTCCACAGTGTATCTGGGAAGCAATCTGCTTGGCGCGGCGCTGACTACCAGAAAAGACAGCGCAGCCAAGCCCATATTTTGATTCATTTGCAAGCTTGACAGCCTCTTCATCTGAGCTGAATTTCATTATTGGCATGATTGGTCCAAAAGCCTGCAAGTCAATCACGGTCATGCAGATTTAGGTTTAGCATGTTGTCCATGAACCAGGGAAACACTCAAAAACCGTTCTATATTCCCCAGAAATAAAAGACCTAAATTTAATTCCTGAAAATACAAAGAAAAGTGCATCCCTAAGGATATAGTCATGAAGAAAATATAACCATCATTAAAATAAAAATAAAAAAGGCTGAAAAAGTTGGGAAAAAATGTAATGAAATATAACAAAAGAATAAAGTCTGAACAACACTAGGTGCTTGCAGATTAAGTTAAATACCTCTTCCTGCATCAACTTCATGGTGTGGTTTACGTTCACAATGACGGTGGGAGGAAAGTACTGATCAACAGCACCTGCACCTATATTGCCAACACTTCCCCGACCAACAATTTCAGCTCCTTTGTCTATGGCATCATTTACAAGGCTTTGAAGCCTTTCTGAATGCTCTTGCATACATATGGCTCCCATATCGTACTTTCCAGCCAGTGGAGGACCCTGCACATGATTAGGTAGACATAAAGCACCTGGAGGTCTAGATCTTTGGTTTTAAGCAAGTACAAAGTACACTGCTAAACTAGAACGTGTGAGCAACAGAGGCAGCATATTAGACATTAATTTTTGCTATATCCCAGTAGCAACAAATTTCAGAGACATTATTTTCATGGAATCAATTACAAAAACATTTTGTTGTTTTAAGTAATTAGAAACTAAACAAAAACAGAAACAACAGTGATCAGGCTCATATGGAGTCAAAGCTTTTAGGGGAAGCAATCTCCAATATCTCAGCAAGAATGTTATAAGATAGTCCATTGGAAGGAGTCCTATGGATAACCAAAGCGAAATTTTGGGCGAAGCCCATGTTAGCAAGGAAGTCACATTGGTAGTTTTTTTATTAGAGAGCCCCATTGGTGCCAACCCAGCTCAATCTTCTTTATCCTTGTTAACTAGAACGCAAAATTGCTTGTTCATAGAGTCAGACACTTCATTATACTCGAAAATAAATTCATTCTAAATGAAGAAATAGCAATTTGACCCCAGAAAAAGGCATAGTTACGGAGTTGTATTGTTAATTCAGCAGTCATCTGGTTCACACAAAAATTATTCTATCCTTCAAGACTTTCTCCAAACTTTTTCAGGTTGCCAGACTCTGGCTCACCTTCAGTTCAGTTTTAACGAAGCACGTCATTCCTGATGATCTCATTCTAGACATACCGACTAAAAGATGCTTCAGCAGACTCCTTAGCCCTCTACCCCAAAAACACATTCACATACCATTGCGAAAAGACAAAAAATGAAGGATTCTTCAATGAACCAACTTATACAAATGTGTGAACCCAACAAGAGGAATTGCAACAAAGTGAAGACATCTAGAGTAATGTGTCAGAGGTACTTACGGCAATAACAGATTTTACAATTTTGGATACTTCAGCGACAAATGAAGGATAAATGTCCCGATGAACATAAAATCTCTCAGCCCCAGCACAATTCTGTCCACTTGACTGAAGAGCAGCCCTTACAGCAATTTGTGCAACCTATGTAGCCAAATCTTTCGTTAACAAACCATGGCATTAAAAAAAACAGCATAGTTTTATAGGGTTACCAGTACATCAAATGAAAAAGTGAATATTTAATTGGAAATTCCAGTTCCAGTCAACCCCGCTGTAACGAGGAAGGACACATACATGAGGTACATCTACATCTTCACACACAATAAATGCATCTTTCCCACCAAGCTCAAGCGTAACTGGTGTCAGTGTCTCGGCAGCATTTCTCATTATCTGTAGTAACAGAAAACATATCAACCTATGAACCAAACCAAACCAAGCCTTAAGTCCCATCAAATAGGGTTGGCTAATATCAACCTATGAACCAATGCAGATAAACGAATACAATTCAGTGAAATCACATATATACAGCAGACACAAGACCAACACAAAAAACCCAAGTGCAGTGTGAAAGGGGATAAAAGAATTTCACGGCATTGGCATCCCTTATAATCTTCTAAACATGAATAACCTCTTCAAAATAAGAGGTATAAAAAAAACAAGGCAAATATTCAGTTGAAGTTGATAGTTTTAGATTTGTGAATACAAATCAGCTTCTTGTTGATACAAATCACTGAACACCACCTCTTAGTATTAGCTGCAATCAACATTTGGCGTGTTTAAGGCATGGGGATCTACTGCATTAAAATTAGAGATAAAATTCAAGTGAAACTTGGGTACGAAATTTAATTTTGCAGGCCAAGGGATGACTGTACCGTTCTCCCCACACCAGGTGATCCAACAAATATGACCTTGTCAACTGAAGATACTAGTGCTTCACCTGATTCAGCAAACCTGCCAGAGAAGTTAATTAAGTCAAGTCAAACACCAAAAAATTAAAATTTAAAATTAACAAAAGAAAGAAGAGAGAAACGCACTCACAAGTGCATACCCTGTTATTACATCAACCAGATTTTCAGGAGCGCCTACAGCAGCAAGGGCAGCATGGATTATTCGAACGTAGAAACATCCTGACCAACTTGCATATTCAGAAACCTACAATTAGGCACATATGATTATCTGTCAATTATCAATTTAATTTCTGGATCCCACGGTACAGGAGGTGTTGTTAAGCATCAATCTCCAGAAGTCTGAAATGCAATAAACCATGGACTCACATCCATCCAGGTTTTTATCTCTGGCAAAGATAAAGGCATCAAGCATAATAAAAAAAGTGGGGTGGGGGTAGGAATATTGTTACATAGGAAATTAAATTTCAATATACTAATACAAAGTTTTCTTTTCTTACCAAAAAAAAAAAACAATGTGATACACTGATACCAAAATGGAATGACAAAGAATTTTCCAACTTGTTGGAAAAACAGAAATTTATATATGTCAGGCTCGAGGAGACATCTAGCAAGTAGGTATTGTGTAAAATACAATGCCCAAACCAGAAACTAATATTCATTTACTATTTAATTGGTAAGATGCTAGAGAATCTCTTTCCTTAATGATGTTCACCCATACTGTTAATCAAGAAAGAGATTCGTTAAATTGACTACATACTAGCAAACTCAGACCATTAGCATTTAACCAAAGCGAACAAACTCTTATATTTTAAGTAGGTCATCCAAGACTGAAAATAAAAGTTTTCATAGATCAAAATATGACATACCTTTATCACAATGCTATTCCCTGAAAATACTGCTGCCAGCATTGGATTAAATATATTATGGAATGGATAGTTCCATGAGACAATGGCACCAATCACACCAAGTGGATAAAATTCCACTTTAGATGTCTTGTGAAGCATTGATCTACCACAGGACCTGAAAGCCATGATGATAAAGACAACCATTGCTGTTGAATATTCCCGCCACAGATATTCTTTTTTACAAATGCAAAAAATATGAGCAATTTATTCAGCATAAATTAAAAGAAGAAGAAGAAGAAGAAGAAGAATATTGAATATTCCCACCACAGACATTCTTTTTTACAAATGCAAAAAATATGAGCAATTTTTATTCAGCATAAATTAAAGAAAGACAATGCTTAGTCAACAGTGACTGAACTTAGAGTGGCTTAAATGAAAGAAAAATCAAGGTTCAACAAGGCACATTGGAACATGTCATACGCTAATCAATGGTTCTATGGCAGCAACTATAGTGCAAACTCTGAAAACAGACCATTGGAATTGCAACAAAGCTGTTAGATTAATTTAATGACAATCTAAAGAATAATATAGTATGTCGTCTTTTTTTCTGATAAGTAAGAATGCAATATGTTGTCTTACATTGTCTGGTGTGGTGTGTATTAACCAGTGAAGAAAAAACAAGCAAAGTTGGTAAAACTACCGGTATTCAGGCCTTAGCCACCGCTCCCCCTCTGAAAGTAGCCAAGTGATCTTCTCACATGTTGTCATTATTTCTCCCAGGGAAGCATCTACCATAGTCTTTCCAGTATCACGTGAAGAGATTCTGATTTTAGTGAGACATGAATCAAGACAAACAATAATCTATAAATGGTAGTTAGCCACCAAATTGAGCAAATATGATATAATCAATAATATGAGAACATCATCCCCCTAAAAATAACAATAATAATAATAAGGGGGGAAATATAACTTTAATAATGATTATGATGGTGAAGATATTGCTCAAAAGCTTATCAATATAGTTAAATCACTATTCATAACCAAGCTTGATGTACTTTTGAACATCACTTTGTTGTTGGGATTTTGTATTTCTTTAGCTACACTTCAGTGGGAACAAAATAAAAACTCAATGGTTATGAAGAGATCCTAGTCCTTACTCGCATATAAGCTCTTGATGCTCAATAATATACTTTAGAAGTATCCGCAGAAACTGGCGTCTTTGCTTGAAGGTACTCTGTGCCCATATTTTCTGTGCCTTCCTTGCCTGGACTACATGCTCTTTGACCTGAGCATATTTATTTAATCACAGTTTTAGCTAGTAGTTGTACTCATACATGCAGATATAGATGTTCATGCCAAGGCCTAGGCCTGTGTATGTGAATGCAAATCTGAATCTAGTTATCCATATAAAAACAATGCAGGTGTACAACTTGGACAGCGGTCGATAATTTCAGGGATAATAGAATTTCAATGAGAAGAGACTCAAGTTACCACAGCAGAAGAATCGCATTAATCTTAACTAAAAACATTATGGCCATGTTTGTTTGGACGGACTGGATTAGCATTCCTATGACTAATAGTCCTAGGATTACGAATCCGTTGGATTATGTATCCTATCTTAACTAATAGTCAAGTTTAAAATAATTAGTCCGTACTTCAATTGTTTAACCAAACATCGGATTAATAATTTTATTGGATTATTAATCCAATCCCAAACTTTTGTCCATCCAGACAAACATGGCCTATGTATCATAGCAGTCCAACGGAACAGCATCAATTTTAATTTACCACATTGAAATGCTGGATTGCTGACAATTGCTTCAAAGTTAAGCATATCATGTTCTTCTGAAGGATAGAATTAGAAAGTTGACAGGGGAAATAATGCACAGACTACAACTATAACAAAATAATAACAATAATCATAATAAAATGAAAAAGTGCAAAAACAAAAACAAAAACAAAAACAAAAAATCCAGAATAAAAGCCTAATTAGCTGAACATACATGCGAACTTAACTCTATTTTTGGACATGAAATAACCAAATATCATATCCATTTTAATTCTCAATGCAAAATTACTTTGTGCAATAGCTCCCACTGCTTCACAAGTAATATTGTCACAAATCCACTGACACGACACAATAATAACATCACCAACCTCATCAGGTTTCAATGCAGGGAAGTATCCCAGGTATTTCATTGTTGCTGGCTCATAGCACTGAACTTTGTCTGTATGCCTTTTTGAAGGTATCTGCATAGAAACCCCAACTGAAATATGAACAACAGGCTTGAACCAACAAATATTACACTGAAAACCTTAAATACTATAAATCTTTGTACACAAGTGTGAAACACGAAGATAAAGTGAGATCATTAGGTTCCAACTAAATCATGATATCATTAAACCACTTGTCTGTTTTATCTCTGAAACAGAGAAAAGCAACAGTAAATCACTTCAATTACAACAAACACATCACAAGCATAGATTGTAAACAGTAAGTGTAACTTGATTTTCCTTTCTTCACGCTTATCAGATTTGATTTACATAAACAATCTTAATAAGAATAGCAACTCACATGCATTGTACATTTCTATCTTAGTTTTGATTTTCCAAAAAAATTATGATGATAAACTCACTCACAGCACAGCCAAAAAATCAATGAACGATCTGAAATTAAACAGTCCGCAATCTACAATTACAATTACAATTACAAACTGTCAAACAGAGAAAAGCAATAGTAAATCACTTCAATTACAACACATCACAAGCATAGATTGTAAAGAGCAACTGTAACTTGATTTTACATTTCTATCTTAGCTTCGATTTTCCATAAAATTATGACGATAAAATCACTCACAGCCAAAAAAATCAATGAATAATCTGAAATTAAACAGTCTGCAATCTACAATTACAGTTACGAACTGTCAAAAACACGGTAAACGAAACACTCACATAAATGAAGGTGGTCTCCTTGGTCTGATTTCCATCATCTAACACTGTCACCATCAAAAACACCAGAAAAACACCATCCATATCAATACATACATATAAGAGAGAGAGAGAGAGAGAGAGAGAGAGAGAATACTATCGGAAGCGTCGACATCGATAGGAGGCACATTGTGAGGAATGAGCATCAATAAGAATCTACAGATCGCGAAAGCGAATCCGAGAACGAGCAAAGGCCACCAAAACGACATTGCTGAGAGCTTCGAAGAGCAGAGAGTCTGGAGTCCCTGATAAACCCTAGGTTAATTGAAGAAACTCATTAGCACATCTTTTTTCAGAGAATGCTTCATTCGATAGTGTTTTGTGAAAAGAGAAAAGACAATGACAAAGCGAAAAAAATAAAAATAAAAATAATTCGAATTCGCTTTTATTTATCGCTTTTTCGCTTTATAATTTCTTAACAAAAAATGCTTGGGAGCACTAATTAGTGCTCCCACTAATTAGGTGACAATGGGTTTCGTCATTAATGATATGATATTTTGGTTTTGGAGTTGTATTTTTTTTTTTTTCACTTTTTTAATGCGCACATCTTTTTTCAGAGAATGCTTCATTCGATAGTGTTTTGTGAAAAGAGAAAAGACAATGACAAAGCGAAAAAAATAAAAATAAAAATAATTCGAATTCGCTTTTATTTATCGCTTTTTCGCTTTATAATTTCTTAACGAAAAATGTTTGGGAGCACTAAGTGCTTCCACTAATTAGGTGACAATGGGTTTTGCCATTAATGATGTGATGTTTTGGTCTTGGAATTATATTTTTTTTTTTTACTTTTTTAATGCATTAGTGCTATTAGTGGTGATGTTTTTAGTGGGATGAATCATTGCTGTTTCTTAATATACCAGTAATCATTTTGGTCATTTTTTATTTGTGTTTTGAGATAAATTTTTTAAAAATATTTTGATGAGAGAGTTTATAAATTTTTTTAATTTGTTTGGTTATATATTTTGAAAATAATTTTAGAATTTAATAATTTAGAATGATTTGATATTTTGTTATAATTAAATAATAAAAAAATAATTGAAAAAGAGAGATGAAAGAGAAAAAAATGATTGATTAATCTATATCTATACTATATATTAAGCAAAAGAGGGTTTTTAACCCCAAGGCCTGTGGGAGCTCCAATCTTCTAATCTTAATTTTCTAATTTTTTGATTTAAAAAAATAAACCTCAGCAATTATTGACTTTTCCCAACCCAACCTCAACATTTATTGACTTCTCCTGACCCACAATCCCTTTTGACTTCTCTCATAATTATTGCAACACCCTTTTCAATTTCACCCATATTCTATGGTTACACACAAAAATAAAAAATAAAAAAAGATAAGAATTTAGCTATAGATCTCAAAAAGATATAACATCTAAATTTGAATTATGATTTAATAATATAATTATGTATTTTTTTATGTATATCTATCAAATTTAAATCACTTAATGAGACAAATTAATCAAATTTTCAAAATTATTGATTTTTAATTTACAAAATAGATTAAAAAAAATATTGACTGATTTATTTATTTAATAACAAAAATATTTCATAATCTCTCATTCCTAATCTCTCTCACAAATTTTCAAAAAAAATATTAAAACTTGCATCATTTTCTCTTCTTCAAAAATCAGATATATTATCTATTAAGTTATATATCTACCTATATTTTTATATATTATATTATACATAACAAAAAAAACTAAAAAACTAAAAAAAAGAATCTTTAAGTTTATCTAAATAAACTTTAAATCAATAAAACTCACATGTCTATCACATACCTAACTCACATCATAACTTACCTAAATAAATTGAAAAAAAAATACCCGAATAGAAACCACAACAAAAATAAAATAAAAATAAAAAGATATATCTATCTATCTATCTATCTATATCTATACTATATATTAAGTAAAATGAAATTTTAACCCCTAAGACCTATGAGAGTTCAATATCCCAATCTAATTTTTAAAAATTTTTTATTTAAAAAAAAAAAAACTCAGCATTTATTGATTTGGTCAAAATCCCCTGATCAGTATTTATTAACTTTTTTCAATCCACATATCTTTCCACATACTTGCAATTATTGATTTGGTCAAAATCTCCTGATCAGTATTTAAAATCCCCTCATGCAAATAATTATAGATACAATTCGTATATAGTTACTGCAATAACCTTTTCAACTTCTTCGATACATTATGGTTAGTGATAAGAAAAAAAATTTAAAAAATATAATTTATATATTAAAAAAATCTAAAACAAATATAAATATATATAATTATCCCGTGCATCGGGTGATAGGCTAGTATATAATTAAGAAAAAGTGATTTTGAATTTTTTTTCAAACAATTAAAATTAAATAAGATTTAATTTTTTTTTTAAATTATATTTTGAGATAAAAATCAAACAATCGGATCGTCTCTGGGTCTGCGACCTGTGGGTCTTAGATGGCATATTTTCCGCTGAAATTGTAAATAAGAGCTGTAAATGGGGGTATTTCCTTTGGATTAATCTAGATGACTTGTTTTAAAAGTGAGTGAAGTACTGAATTATGTTACGAAACTAGAGACTTATCATTTTCTATTACAAAAGTTTTTCATTACATTATAACGAATGAATGGGAGATTAAGGCTGCGTTTGGTATGGGTGGGCGTGGGACGGTTGTGGTTACGGAACCTCTAATTCGCTATCTGTTTATCAAATTAGTGAATTAGAAAAAATCAATTTGCGTCTGTTCGTCAATCTGACAGATGCGGATTGGCGGATGGATGCGAATTAGTTTGGCGGTTTAAAATTTTATAAATTTTTAGCATAATTCAATTTGTGCACTTCCTAAAAAAAAAAAATATTACAGTCAATAATTTAAAAAAATATTACAATCACTGCATGCTTCATCCAAAGCAAAAAAGTGTGAAACTTTAGAAAATCACAATCACTGCATGTCTTATCCACATACTACAATCACATCATGCCTCATCTACATAAAGTATTACAATATGTGGTTCTTAAAATATAAAAACAATTCAGACCACCAAAACCATGAACAGCGCAGTAGCAGAGATTGTATGTCTTTGTATTGTTACATCTATATCTGTTTTTGAAAACAAAAACCAACCAACATTTATCATATTTTCTATTTATTATTTTTAGAGATAGAAAAAAAAATATAGATAAATAGTACATTTATTTTTTTCAATTCAAAAAAAATATTTAAGTTGAAAACCTTTTTTCAACATAATATTTAAACTCTTTTTTAATTGAAAACACAAACAAAATATTTAAACAAACTGACAACACAAAGTCTTATAAATTACTAGGGGTGTTCGCGATTTGGCAGTTCGGTTGCGACCAAAGAAATCTCAAATCCGCTATCCGTCCGCCAAATTGGCGGATTGAAAAAAATTAATCTGCAATCGTTCGCTCGTCATCATACATCCGTCCAAAATGTGGCAGATCGGTTCGGTTCGGTTGGTCAGTTTTGACGGTTCGATATATCCGCTGCTCACCCCTAGCGTTTGGTTTAATTTTAAAATTGTGATTCACTTTTTAAAATTATAATTTGAATGTAAAATTGTAAATTGAGTTTTGAAAAAAAAAATTGTATAATTATGAGTTTTAAAAAGAATTTTGAAAAGTGTATTGAAAAGAGTTTTAAAAAAGTTTTTGAATTTTAAAAAAAGTTTTGAGTTGTATTTTGAATTTTGAGTTATATTTTGAATTTTTTGGATTTTTTTTTTAAAATATTAAAAATTGTTTAAGAAATTTTTTTTATTTTAAATATATATATTTTATTTTAAACATTTTATTTTATTTTTTATTTTGTAAATTTTTTAATTTTTAATTTTTAACTTAAAACATAACTTCACATTCAAATCGTAACCAAACACATAATTCAAAATTTAATTTAAAAGTAATTTTTAAAACTCATAACTAAATACATAACTCGAAACTCCACATTATTTTCAAAACTCTACACTAAAATCATAACCAACACATAACAAAAAAAATTAAAATATTTAAAAATGTATTTATAAAATAAAATAAAATATTTAAATTAATAATAATAATTTTTTAAAATTTTAATATTAAAAAAATACAACACATAAATGTATGAAATATAGTGCACATTAAAATAAATAAATAAATATTTAAAATATAAAATGTTTTCCCTAAAAACATAAAATAAAGAAATTTTAAAAAAATAAATCCAAAAAATTTCAAAATACAACTCAAAAATCTTTTCAAAACTTATAACCAAACAAATTTTCTCTTTTTAAAACTTATTACTCAAAATACGACACCATATTCAAATCATGATTCTAAAATAATTTTAAAAAGCAAAATAAAAAAATATATCTTTGAATTTTTTCTTTTAAAATGGAGTTTTAAAAAGAGTTCGGTTTTCAGTTTTGAAAAAAGTTTTGAATTGTGTGTTTAGTTATTAGTTTTGAAATTAATTTTTAAATTGAGTTTTGAATTGTGTGTTTAGTTGTGAGTTTTGAAATTAATTTTTGAATTGAGTTTTGAATAATTTTGAATTGTGTGTTTGGTTATAAATTTTGAAAGGTGATTTGAAAATTTTGTCTTTGGAATCATGATTCCAAGGCAAATCAAACACAACGTAAGATTATTTTTTTTGGATTAAATGGGAGTTTGCGATTTTTTTAAGAGAAAATTTGTAATAAATGCAATCTACGGAAGTTATAAGGTATTAGATCCAGTAGATATTTTTTATTAGTGAGAGGTCCACTTTTTGTGAAATTGTTTGGTGAGAAATATTTTTATTTATTTTGAAGAACATTTTGTTTCTAATTTTACCCCTTAATTTATCTGTTTCCATTTGTTGACTATCTGTTCAAATTTTTTTTCTATATTTCTTCAATTTTTCATATTTATTCAATTTTTTTGATTATCTGTTCAAATTTTTTTTTAATTATCTATTCAATTTTTTCCCTATCTTTTCAAATTTTCTATATGTTACATCCAACCTATAATTATTTCATTTTTTCTCTCACAAAATTCAAAAAATCTAAAAAGCCTTTTCCAAACGGGGCTTTTTAGCCCCAGGCTAAAATAACCAAAATACCAAAATGCCAACCCATAGCCCAAACAAATTCTAAATTTTATTTTCTAATTTAATTTTTTGCTTATCTACTTAAATCTAAATCTATCTGTTTAATTTTAAACCCCCGGATCTAATTTCTCTCTCCTTTCATCTCTCTCTTGTATGTTCTAGTGCTTTGAATGTTCATCCAAAGAATAAGATATTAAACCTATTTGTTCTACACTCTCTTTCCAAGCCCAACAAGAAATCCAATTTCATCCAAAATACATACACATTTCTACA